GTCAACCTTGAGGCTCTGGCAAGGGTCAGAGGCATACACCACTGTCTAGTGAGACAAAGGGAGCTGAAGCAACTTCCACCTTTTAGTCTCATGTGAATCCTTATTGATAAGTTGCCTGTTCCTGGAAAGTGCCTGCCTAAGGGCTATAGGTATATTCCAAACCTGAAGGGATCAGGGGGCCTGAGCCAAGTGGAGTTCTCTCTTGGGCTTCCACCTGGCCCCCAATTCCCAAATTAGTGTTTTCTTGTCTTGTCTCTTTCATTTGTTTGTGGCCTCCTCCAGGACCTGAACCCTGAACCTGAACCCTGAACCACGTGGGACGTGGGGGACACACTCTCAACTAACTCAGACAGGTGAGGAGATCCCTTTTCTAGGCAAATAATGAGAAATGCAAGTATTAAATGCATCGATTCAATTGGCAGAAGGACTAGCGGAAGCCAATACAGATTGTGAGAAACCAGAATCTCTCTCGTAGTGAGGCAAACAGCAGAACTACTACTTTTCAAATTGACAAACAACACAGGACACCAAAGCTCTATAATTAGAAGGCTTATAAACTGTAATTTAAAATGTTTCCCTTAACTGTAAATAGACTTACAATGTACTTAAGTATTATTAGCAATTCTTAAACTTGATGATGCTCAGCATATATTGAAGACATATGATACCACCAAGGCACTTGGTTAATTTGAAGCACAGCTATTATTACTTTATCCATGTGTAACTACCAGTAGCTACAAGTAATTAAAACATAAAAGTATATGGTGGAAGTAAGCATAATTTCTAACATTTATTGAGCACTTGGCATGTGCCTTGCCTATTAGTAAGACTTTTTGTTTTTTGCAAGCATTATCTTATTTAGCCCTCTAAACAGTGCTGAGAAATGTACTGCTCTTACCAGATGTTTCAGGATGAGGAAACTGGACCTTTAAAAGGGCATGTAATTTGCACAAGATTATAACTAGTTACCGAAGGTCTAGAATTTGAACCCAAACTATCGGAATCTAGACCCTGAGTTCCCAACTGTTAGTTGCAGGAGAAAAGTTAGGTCCTACTTCTCTCTCCTTCCTTCACACAACTTTCTCTCCTACATTGACTAGGACACACTTTTGGTTAATCAACCTTTGAATAACCTACCAAATACAGATCCCAATCACATCAGATGGGAGGGTTACACTGTAGGCATGTTTTTCCAGGCCCGTTACACCACACTGTAAGATTTACTAGACATCTTTTTTAAAGCAAAGAACTTGAAAACAAAACAAACCGCCCAAAAGAATAACAGGAGAGCAGTTTGGCTTTTAGACCATGTACTTAGTAAATCCAGGCAATTGAAAAATATATCTCTTAACACAAGGAAATCAGTGAATGACACTGTTGGAAAGCATTGAACTTACTATAAAGTACAAACCCATTTCCTAGGGAAAATGCAGTAATTTATTTCCTTGGTACAAGCTTTCCAGTGAAGAATGCCATTAAACTGGATGTACTGCTCTGACTGGCTGCATACTCTACCCAACAGAATATATCCAAGCAAAGAGGAAACATGCTGTCTAGAAAAAATATACAATTTCCTTTTATTTCCCCTTCTGAGTAGAACACCTCTTCTTTGGGGAACAAGTCAGGAGCATATAACAATTCACTACATAACATTTTCCATTCTGACAGCCAGAAACAATGAGAGAATCCATGAGGACGACCCAATGATTCTCAGAAAGGCAAGAGTTTCTGTGGTGGATGCCTCGCATCAGCTTCTTATCCAGCAGATGCTGCCTGCAATCCAGATCTCCCCCAAATGAGCAAGAATTCATTGAAGAAAAAACACACAGATCCTTTAATAAGCCCATGTTTTATTCCAGCTTGGCTGAAACATCAGTTGTGTGGAGATCAGTAGTAGAAAATAAAGCTGTAAAGATAGGAGGAATAAACTGTAGATATCTCAAAATGCTAAGGCAGGCTGTCATTAACTCAGTGGGCAGCTGTGGAACCACAGAAAGATTCTGAGAAGAGCAGTGACATGACTGTCACCTATGGAGATCAATGGGAAAACAGTGTAGGATAGCCCAAAGGTAGGGGAGATGAAAGGTAAAAAGAACAGTTAAGAGGCAAGATTTGGAAACAGCCTAAGTGTCTGTCTATGGATGAATGCATAAAGGAGCTGTATGTGTTTGGGTGTGTAGATGTGTATATACCTATGTCTGTCTGTCTGTCTGTCTGTCTGTCTATCTATCTATCTATCTATCTATCTATCTTTGCCAAAAGAAAGAAGGAAATCCTGACATTTTGGTGCGTAGAACTGGAGGGCATTGTGCTAAGTGAAATGAGTCAAACAGAAAAACACAAATATTGAATGATATCATTTATATGTGGAATCTAGAAAAGCTAAACTTCTAGAAACAGAGAGTAGCATGGTGGTTGCCAAGGGCTGGTAGGTGGGGGGCAAATGAGAAGATTTGGTCAAAAGGCATAAATTCCAATTATAGGATAAGTTCTGGGGATCTAGCATGGTGATTATAGTCAACAACACTGTATTATGCATTTAAATGTTCTCACCACAAAAAGAGAAATGGTAATTATGTGAGGTGATGGAGGTATTAACCAATGTTACTGTGCTAATCATTTGGCAATATGTATAAAATGTATCAGGTCAGTATGTTGTATTCCTTAAACTTACACAATGTTATATGTCAATTACATCTCAATAAAGTTGGAGGAGTTTGACAGCTGTTGTGCTGGTTAAATCCATTGTATTTGCTTATAATTTATTTCACTGCATTTTAGCAAAATTAATCTCATGACTTCAAAGAGTTTATTTATTTTCTATTTTCTTTCTGCCTACTAGAAAGTTTATACAGGTCTTTCTTATTGATCAGTTCAATGGGATAGGATATCCTTTCAAAGTTCTGATGCTTAAAATGGCAGATCTATATTCAATATGCATGCCAATACCACCTTAGTTAACAGAGAACTCATGAGAGTAGAATGCCAGGTGCGCTTTTTGAAGTCTGAGTCAGTCAAAAGAGACCTTGCAGCTTCCTTCTCACTGGTCAGAACACTCCCTCCAGCAGGCCTGGGTGCATGTCAGAAGGCTGGAAGGGCACATGGGTGGGTGCTCCAGTGATTCCCAAGTGCACCCAGACTTGCAGCAAATCCCACAAAAGCACCAGACTGTGAGGGAGGAAGCCTCCAGATGCCAGGCTCTAAGCACTGACATTACCCCTGCTGCTGGAGCCCTCCCAGCTGAGACCTGAGACATCATGCAGCAGAGACAAGCCTCTCTTCTGTGCCCAGCCCATACTCCTGACCCAGAGAACCCCTGGGCATAATAAAAGGTTTTTTGTTTGTTTGTTTGTTTGTTTACATTATTAAGTTTGGGGGTGGTTGATTAAGTTATAATAGATAGCTAGAATCCTATGTACAAGAGAGGTGATAAACCAATGGTTGTAAAGCCCAGACTCTGAATTCTGGGTGGTGTATTTCAAAAGATTAAAAATCAAACATACTCAGAAGAGAGTAACAAGAATGTTCATTTATGGAGGGAAGAGAGTATAAATGAAAGGACTGGAGATATTCAAACCAGAAAAGAGAAAAAGGGTGTACATCCATTGTCTTCAAATATTGGAAGGGCTATCATGAGTGAAAATCAAAACAATTACTCTGTGTATTCAAGGAAGAGAGGCCTGGGGACAATGAGCAGAAGCTAGAGGGAGTCAGATGGAAGAATTCTCTAATGTTCTGAGCTTCTCCTGAAAGAAAAGGCAGCCTTAGGAGGTGGTGAGTTCCCTAACATTCAAGGTAATTAAATATAGATGATCACTGCCCAGTGAGTGGGTTTGGAGAGAATTCACTTATTGACCAGAAGTTTGAATGAAATGCTCTTACTTTAAGGTTATGCTGTAACACTGAGATGTGTTTAATCTAAAGATCAACCCCATTTCCTTGTTCTAAGAAATCTAATCCCAACACATGTTGAGCAGAGGGGGGAAAAAAATACAAGATGAATAAGATAAATGAAAAGCAATACCCAGGTATAAATAGAATGTGATGCAGAACTTCAGAGGTAGAAATGGCAAACTAACAGGAAAACAGAATCCAGCACAGCAGCAAAGGAATGTTTTGAAGTACAAACTAAGGAAGAGAGAAAAGGAAAGACAAAGATTCCCATCAGTGGCAATACCATGTATAGAGGATGTCTCTTTCTTTCTTGGCAAACGGTTTGATTCATTTCTAAAACTTTTCTCTTCTGTCTGTGGGAAAAACAGACCAGAAGAACATGGCAGCGTAGCAGCAAAGGGGAGGAGGTTCAAGTGGCAAAATGAGCGAAGCTCTTTAGTGATCACTGAGTGTCTAGCCTCAAATAGATGTGTGTGCCTATTGGGTCAAGTGATAGGCATGGAAGCCACTGTGGATAATAAACGTCGGGACTTAAGAAAGACTAAGGTAAGCAAGAAACACTGGAAATTAAAACTTGGTTTTCTAAAACAACGGCCAATATGGAAAAAAACAAAACAAAACAAAAAAAACAGCACTCACAAACCACCTAGAAAATGAGATGTGTCTAGAGCAAAGCCACAAAGGAAACAAAAAGGAAAGAAAACGTTAAAAAGTTATCTCAGGCACATTTCATCTGAACTTTATCACCGTTTGTAATCAACTTCTGAGGTTTCATAATACTCTTTAACCTTAGTTACACAACCCACTGAACAAGTCATCTCATTGTTACCGGGCTTGAAGGAAGAGGGGAGACTCTTTTTTCATGTTGATAAGAGATAGGAAAAGGAGTCACTCCCAGGTTGGGGGGGGGAAGAAGTGTTCTGAATCAGCTCCTGGAGCCTACTGGTAAGGAGTGGTGATAATCTTTCGCTCGCCTTAACCCTTTCAAGACTCATGGCACCTGGAGTTAGACATGCATGACACTGAAAAGTAAAAGTAACTTTCATTTGAATAAGCAGAGATTTTTCATTAGAAGACAAAAGTAGAAATTGTTTCTTATTACTCACCCATTTCCTAGGTCGGCCTCGTGGCCGTTTTTCTCCAGTGGCTTCTGCTTTCTGCAAAATGAAAAAGGAAGTCAAATGGTTGCCTACCTGACACCATGCACCAGGACTCACCAAGGCACACGTTTGAGGTGTGCTTGCCCTGACTTGCAGAGGCGATATTAAGAACTGTTTCAACCATCTCTTTTTTTAGGTTCATCTTCTCCCTTCTTGATTCTTCTTCTTCTTCTTTTTTTTTTTTTTTCATTGTATGATATCAACAGATACAACCCTCACCACAAAAAACTCCCCTAAAGTGATTTTCTTTTGTTTCCATCCATAATAAAGAATGACTTCCACATATCCACAATTACGTCAAGTATTTTAGAAAGTTAATGTTTCTTAAGCGATGATTTCCTTTCCATGTCACTAAAGTCACAAAATTTAATATTAGTGTATTGCTTTATAATTTACAAGGCTCTTCTAACCTACATTGCTAGTCAAAAACAAGTCTAAACATATATAAGACATATATAAGATTCTGATTTTTTAAAAAACATTTTCTTATTTCTACAGTTAATTTCCTATTCCTTACCAAAAAACAATCACCTGTCAATAAGTTCACTTATAGCAGAGGGAAAAGTAGCTGGGAGAAAGCATCCGTATTTGTCCTTGAATTGGAAACTATGGATATTAAAATAATAATAAATGTGTAAATTAACTCTTCACTCAACACAAAAATGGCATTAATATATTTTCTATTTTGAGTTTGTTTTATTGCTTTACTTCATAGATTTTTTTTCTGGTATCATGGTTATTTTTTCCCTTTGACTCAAAATTTAAAATTTTCTATTAAGTATTTTCCCCTGCATTAATCACCCTATTCCAATCCCCAAATACACCAACACACACACATCACACATACATACACATTACATACACCTTCTATAAAAACAGGATAAAGAACAGTTAGTTCATACTCTTTTGTGTATGAGAATCATTCCAAGGCTATCTGAACACAAAAATGTAGGTAAGCTGAGCCAGAATAACTTGTTTTGCATTTTACTTTTGTTACCTGGGGTAGCAGCCAGTAGGCACTTAATACAATGATACTAAAATTACCTGATATAACTGTCTACACTGCCAAATGAGAATCTCCTCTTTCTCGCTTCAATCTGCCTGGTAAAAATAGGTTGAGTCAGATGATAGATAGGTAGGTAGGTAGATAGATAGATAGATAGATAGATACAGAATAAGCCACACGATTTCTCACTAAATAATAACTCCCTGACCTGGCATTAGTATCCAACAGGTCCCATGCATTTAACTCAAACTCTGTATAATTATAATGTTAGTTCACACTGACTAAGCATTTAAAATACCCCAGGCAAAGGGCTAAATCACTCACTTATTTTAATCCTTACAAGAGCCTTGCAAGGTAAGTATTACTTTTTTCTCTTATTTTGCAGATGAGCAACTAAATTTTAGATAGGGGAGGTAAACAACTCAAGGGCACACACAAAGCTGGTAAATGGCAGGTTTGGGGTTTGAACCCAGTTCCGTTGGGCTCTAAGGACTTGGCTCCTACCTCCCAATAGGGCTGCAACCTTCCCACAGGCATTTGCTACCACGAGGAGATATTTTAATTAACTAAAGTCCTCACAGATTCAGCTAATTTCCCAGAACAGAAGGAAACCTGGTGGAGCCTTTTCCTATACCCCTGGGACTGAGTGCTCTGAATCGCCGTCTCCTATTTTCTAGTCGCTTCACAGAGGCATCGCTTATTGTCAGGGGTTAGTGGTGGTGTCTTAACTTCAATCATAAGGGCATGAACTGGATAAGTGAGAGCCTGGAGTGCCCAGTGAGCCACACCCTCTTTCTGGGAGTTCTCTCAGAGAGAGAGGGCAGAATCTTAACAGAAACACAGACTCCTCTTTGGAAAGGTTAGACCCAAGCCCCTGCTCTGACATTTAGCGTTAGGGCTTTGGGCAGGTCCCTGAAAAACCCCCATGTGGTTTCCTATGTGAACTGGAGATAATGCCTCCTGTGAGGAGTGCCGTGCCCGCCCTAAATGCCCGCCATAAATGAGGTGCTCGAGAAATGTTCCTTCCCTCCTAAGGAGATGGAACTCTTGAAGGGAAAGTTTTCCTTCAGGTTGGTCCAATCTCACAGGAGGTTCGGTCAATGCAAATATTCCATTACACCCACCTGCCACCTTTAGAATGAAGCTTTTAAGAAACCCTTTGGCTAGGACATAGTGAGCTACACAAGCACAAAAATTTCCTAATACAGAAGCAGTGTCTGATTTGGTATTTGGGAGCAGAACTTACCCGGTGGTAAAGTACACCAACATGGAAGATAGAAACCCTTCCTAATGGGCTTGGCAATGAAAGGTGGAGTTGAGGGAAGGGGACTTTTGACCTTCAAGACTAGCTGCACCCCAGGCTTTCCCAGCTCAGCTGTGACGTGTCAGGGGCCATGGTGGGGTCCGGATGCATCTAACTAAACTCTGTGGAAGAGAGGGCTGTTTCCTAAAAGGGTTTCACTGCACTTCAAAAGCCAGAGGAAGCCAATCTCTCAGAAAGAAAGCCCTGCAAACCAGAGGACTTTAAAGAGAGCATCTCACGAAAGGCCTATTCAAGAAAAAAATTCTGCACCATTTTCCAAAGGGCCGAAATATCACAGTGTCACCTGGACTTGTAAAAAAGCAGACTGGCTGCGTGTCTTCAGGCCAGTGTTACATGTAAACCGAAACCCTCTTGTGAGACTCCATCTAGAAGAAACACATTAGCTGCGCTGTGCGGCCTCGATCTGGGAGGTTTTCATTGTTCCTTACAACCCACATTATTTAATCATTCCAATCAAACTTCACAGATGCTGCAAAACAGGTTAGGGTTTTCTTTTGTAAACCAGCATTGATCCGAGGCTTTTACATAGTGCGAAGCACAGGCTTTAGCTTCCCCCGTCTCCCTCCCTGCCCTGTGTTTAATGCTCTCCGGGATATTATTTTTCCATAGAAGACAAACAAAACATTCTGGAATCTTGTTTTGTTTTTAATATATCAATATATGTATAACGTGGAGGGGTCTATTTGGTTTTCCTCTGCCAGAGTGGAATTGGGTTCTATGCTGCAAACACATATAATTTGACACACAAAAAATCATGCTAAATGTTTCCTGCTTATCTGGGAGAGAAAGCAGAAATTCTACATTTGTGAGAACTGAAATTTCAGACCATGACTGGCATTGTTATACTATTTGCAACTATCATATCCTATCTTGTTAAAAGTGTTACTGCTTGTCCTCTTTCATACTGATTTGTTCAAAAAGTTTAGCTTCAGACCTGAATCTTTAATTTTATAATATACTCAGAAGCAAGTTCATAAGAGCTGGGAGAAATGCTAAATGGGAAATGTAATTCTTTCTTTCCCTAAGGAGTTCTGATACTCCAAGCTTCTAAGTGCGCTCTGTACTTAAAAAATAATGAAGGAAATTCATCTAGCAAGTATAACTCTTGAATTTGAATGAGTGCTTTGCCTGGTGCACAAGACATGTTCACTATGTATTTACTGAAGAAGAAAGGAACGAAAGAAACACTGCTGTTTATGTCACATGTGTGTCTTGTTTCCCTCTTGCTGTCAGAATTCTACAGCTTGGTAGGACTTGTGGGTAAGACTTTAAAAAAAGCATTTCATCTTTAACAAGTTAAGAAAATTTCTGGGTGTGTAATGACCTCCAAAAGCATAGCCCTTGGGTTTATCTGGGGGACAGAGTTCTGTGGCACACATCTGCAACCCCTTTATAAGTTTGTAAAGAGCTGCCATCCAAAGGTTTCTCAAAACCTAACTTTCAACCTGCATTTCCAGTTACTGAAGATAACAGTCCTGGCAAATATCTTATAAAATATTTGACAAGTTGCATGTAATACAGGAAGGATCACAAGCTTTAGGAGGAGATTTGGATTCAAATCCAGGCACTGCCATTTGCTAGAGTTGAACATTAGATGTGTCAGTTTCTCATTTGTGAAATGAAGACCAAATGCCTACATCAGAGGATGAAAGGAGCTATTATAGCATATTGTAAAATGAGTGAAAGGTATGCAAATGTAATCTATTCTGCCCTCCACATTTTAGACTGTTACCTTAAGAAAGTACCTCGCAGTTTTGTATGTTCCCATAGTGGTTTCCTGAGCATCATCTTTCCCTTGCTTCACAAATGGGAGGTGAAGCCACCTGCCTACATGTGTATGACTGAGACCCAATTTGATTTCAAGGCAATCGGGGATCTGTTATTTTGGGAGATGTTCCCACATGAAGTAAAACAGCCATGGGTGAATTAAAAAAAAAAATAAAGGCCTTCTAGGGTGAGAAACAAGTGAGTAGTTAAAGGTACATTTCCAAGTTTCCTATAAAGACATGGACAGGAGCTGGAACTGGGAACTTCTGGGTCAAATTTAGATAGCTATTAATTTTTTGCTAATCTAAATGCTGTCATCATAGATATTGTGATAATGCATGAAAGCCAGAACTCTCCCCTCTTTAATCAATGAGTTCATCTGAACAATAACAAAAAAGAGCTTGAAAAATATTTAGGCGTAGTAGCACCTTGTTTGGTTTTAATGTATTTGTATGCATGTATATAGGTATAGCTAGATAACTGATAGATCGATGATAGATAGATGATAGATAATAGATAGATGATAGATAGATAGATATAGATAGATAGATAGATAGATAGATAGATAGATAGATAGATGATAGATAGATAGATAGAAGATATATAGAAAAGTTTAGACTAAAACCTGCAGACTGAAGAGCATATGGAATCAACTCTCTGAAGTTTAGAAAGACACATTTGTTTTTTTTCCAGTGGTTCCTTTACAAATATAAACAGTGTATATCAACATGCAGTGGCATTAAAATCATCTGGACTGATTGGTCAGACTAAGCACTGAGTAACTCTTATTTTACATTTTTGATAATCCAGTCCTATGGGTTTCCAAAATTTAACTGCAACCATTTTTGGTCTTAAAAAGATATTGCAAGTTTGCAATCACTCCATGTTTTCCAATAGAAA